CATGTACTTCCTTGAGTAGTTGTGAGAACAGTGTCCTCCCCACAAGTCCATCAGTGGTGACTTTTTTCCGTAGTAGGCACTACTGTTAGGTCCTACAGTGTCCTCCACTGTTTTCTGCCTCTTTTGTGCAAAGCTTACCTGGACAGAGGTATCTAGAGAGATATCCAATCTCTCTTCCTCTCTTCTCAAACATTCCTCTTCCCAAGAAAGAATGAAGACTGTTTAGATGGGAAGGAACTTTAGCTGACAAGTTCCACGTCATTTATACCAGTAAGTGTTTTGCTGGGCATAATCTGTCTGGTGCCTGCTCAGCTGCTGAGAATTTGACCATTTTACTCTTGTTCCTTGATGTGGACAGAAACCACAGCGGGGAACCCAGGAGAAACTCAGGTAGGATTTGAGCTGAAAATCTCTACATTTATTAAAGTGGGTTTTTTTTTTGTTTTGTTTTGTTTTTGGTACCCAGGATCGAACTCAGGACCTTGCCCTTGCAAGGCAGACACTTATGCTGCTGAGCTAAATCCTCGGCTTCTGAAAAATCTCTACCTTTAACCCTCACTGAAGCACCTCAGTCATTTCATCTGTCTCTTTCTTGCCTGCAAGATGATAACTTGTTACTAATCTTCAATCTATCCCGTTTCCTTTACTACCACCTCCTTTTAAGCAGTAGTACTAATACCTCAACAATGCCTCAGCCTCTGAAGTGGTTTGCTAAAATCTCTCCCCCATTCTACACCAGCTTTAACATTGGCTGCCATATTTCTTAACTCAGGTTATTTACTAGTCAATATTTTTCTGTGACGCATCGGTTCTAAAACAGAGTCTCCACCTTGGCAGAACATTAGAATTGCAGAAACTGTATCATAATTACTGAGGATGACCAAGGAATGAGTTATTTTTTTAATATTCCAGCTGATGCTAATGTGCTGCTATCATATTACCTTAATTGAAAACAGAAAATCTAGTATTTTTTTGTTTTTGTTTTGTTTTGTTTTTTGATCATGGTCTCATTGTCATGCAGCCCATGCTGGCCTTGAATTCACTATACAGCCAAAGGCAGTCTCAAATTCATGGCAATTCTCCTGCCTCCACTTCCCGAGTGCTGGGATTACAGGTGTGTGCCACCATGCCTGGCTGAAAACAGAAAATATGAAGTGTGATGCTACAAGTAATTTCTTAGAGTAGGAAAGCATATATCTACTAATTTCAAAATATTGACAAAAATTCAACTATGAAAGATGACAGTTCTCAAGAAGGCTGATAACAATTTATTTTGCAAAAACCCCCTAGGTTCCAAATAACTCAAGCACAGAAAAATCTTGAAAGTAAAAGAATAATAAAGCAGTACAAACAATGATAAAGAAATGGAGATATGTACATAAACAGCTAATGATAAAGATAAATGAAAGGCAAGATCTTAAAATATTTAAGCGCCACAGTACAGATATCAATGAATAAGCAAAGAACTACAAAGTAAAGACAGTGAATAAGGTACAGTTTGAGTATCAGACTGCAAGCTTAGAAATAGTCTGTGTAAGAAGAAGGCAGCTGGACCAGTAGATGGAAATAATACAGTCAGAAAGTTTTACCCTATTTTATCTTTGCCACTTGCTAGACAAGCTAATCTTTAACACTGCTATGCTTTGACTGTAAGATGGATAAAGTTGATCCTACTGGTCACTTGTGAGAATTAAGTGAGATAAGCACATATATGAAACAAATGCTTGTTGAATGTCTCTTAAAAAGTACAGGTTGATGTCAGGTGTGGTAGCATATGCCCACAATCCTAGATACTCAAGAAGCTAAAAAGCACAAGTTCAAGGGCCACCCTGGTTAATTTAGCAAGGTCTTCCCTCAAGAGAAAAACAAGAAAGGATAGAAATGTGGTTCATTGACAAGGTCATGGATTCAACCTGCAGTACCTCAAAAACAAAAGCACAAGGCTAAACACCCCTACTCTGAAAATCTAAAATCCAAAATGCTTCAAAATTGGCAACTGTAGCCAGGCATGGTGGGCACGCACCTGTAATTTTAGCACTCAGGTGGCTAAGACAGGAGAATCGCTGTGAGTTTGAGGACAACCTGAGCTCCATAATGGAAACCTGTCTCAAAAAGAAAAGAAAGAAAGAAAGAGAAAAAATAAAAGAGAAGAGAAAAAGGAAAAGAAAATTGGTAACTTTAGGCTGGGTATGGTGGTACACACCTGTACACACTGAGGCAACTGAAACAGGAGAGTTGCCATGAGCCTGAGACTGCCCTGGACTATACACAGTGAGTTCAAGGTCAGTCTGAACTACACAGTGAGATCCTGTTTCAAAAACCTAGATCAAAAAAAAAAAAAAAAAAGTAAAATAAAACAAAAACAAGGAAACTTTTTTGAGGTCCACAAGTGGACAGTTCCACATGGGACTTCCTAAGATTGGCTTCAGCAAAAATACAGGTGCAGTAAAAATAAAAATCACCTTCAGGCTATGTATACACATGAAACATAAATGTTTAGATGTAGGTTTCCTCTTCATGACATCTCACTCTATATAATGCAAATATTCCAATTTTCTTTAAAAAAAATCTCAGATCTGCAATAGTTCTGCCCCTAAGCATCTGAAATAAAAGAATCTTTTACTATAGAATAAATCCAAAGGAGAAAAGAAAAAGCTTCTAAAAAAATCATAAAATAAATAGTCAAAAGCTAGAAAACTTTGGATCTCTTCTGTGCCAGTATGATGAGCAACAGAACTTTATGATTTCTTTAGTTTCCACACGGCAAAATTTGATGTGAGTGCAATTCTATGTTGGAATGGTCCTATCAAAAAATCATTCTAAAATGATGCTATGCATGCATTTAAAAGCACACACAGTAAGTGTTAATTATCATGTACTAAAATCAACATTATATTAATCACCATTGCATTAAACAAATTTCAGTAAACAAATAGCTCCTTACTCTAAAGTCATTCCTGAATCAGTCTGTTAAGAATAATGTCTGCACATTCGTGAGCTATTTTAGTAGAGAAAGCCAAAAACATCTCAGGTGGCATGGTATATGTTTCTATAAACATAATTTTGAAAAGTCAGCTGCTATTTTTCCCAGGGTTACATTCAAGGAGCGGGAAAAGGCTAACTTGGTTGTCAAGGAATCTTTTTGACACACGACATGAATATTCACGCATGCTGCAATTCAGCTGCCATCTCATTAAACCAAGTAAATTATTGAGTAACATTTTCTACACTAGGAAATGGGTATTTTGACCTTTTCTAAATATCCTAAATATGGTGAGACTGCAGTTATATCTTTAAAACAAACATTTCTTATTTTACTAGATTTGTTATAGATTTCTCAAAGTTATTTTACATGGTTCAAGGCAGAGCTGTTACTTATAATTTACCTACTGGTCAAGATTATGGTTGTTCTGTGAATAACAGGTAAGACTCATGAGGTAGGCATTTAACAAAAGACAGAAGAAGATTTTCCTAAAGAGTGCCTCTAACAATTATAGGAAGAAGGGAGACAAAAATAAACCCAAGGGCCTGTAATTCTAGCACTTGGAGGCTGAGGCATGAGGATCACTGAGAGTCAGAGGCCAGCCTAGGCCAGCCTATGCCAGCCGAACAATGAGGCTCTGTCTCAAAACAAAACAAAACACCTGAGTAAGCCAAATGCTGCCTGGAGCAGTGTAACTGCACCTTGAGTACAGAAGACTGACTGAGAGAGCAATACTTTATATGCACAGTCCCCTTGACAAAAGGGAAAAGAGCATTGCCCCAAGTGAAGAGATGGGCTCTGTTCGCAGTTCTGATATTATCTAGCAGTGTGGCCTGTTGATGGTCCTTCCCATCTCTGGGTTTAATGCATTAATGTGTGAAATGAGAGTGGTGGGTCTCATGAGGATTTCCAAGTCCTTTCCAGCTCTAAACAACAGCCAGATTTAAAATGGCCATTTGCTTACCTTTCTCCAGCCCGTCAGGCAGGCAGTAACTCCAAAACCACCCAAGTGTGCGTGTGGCAAGGCAGAAAGGTATGGACTAAGCCCATGCTCAGCTGCTTGCACCGGGGTCTCTGTTCCGTACTTTCTATGCACATTAGAGAATCAACACAACTTTTGATCTCCAACTGAGAGACACCACTCATTACAGCAGCTATAGAAGGTCCCAGGGGTCTACTATTGGCAGAAGGAAAAGGAGTGGGTGACTACCCCTTATCAAGGAAGCACTAAAACACAGTAAAACTGGGGAGTATAGATATCAAGCAAAGCATCTAATCTTATATAAAAGAACACTAAATCTCTGACAGGAGAACTCACTGGCCCAAAGATACCTATCAAGCTCATGTGAGTGACTTGGGTAAATACTTGAGCTTTTCCACCCCATGTCAGTGATCTGCTCAACATCAAGATCACAGTTCAAAATGGTGTCACTTGGGCACAGTGGTGCCTGCATATGATTCCTGCACTCTCAGAGGCTAAGGCAAGGGGACTGAAGTTGGAACCCAGCCTGGGCAACCTAGTGACTTTGTAAGACCCTGTTACAAAATTTTCAAAAAAGAGAGGTGGATAGGAAAGTAGTTCAGTGTGAAGGTTCTGAATTTAATTGCTAGTACTGAATAAAACAAAAACCAAAAACCTCATGTTAACTGATCTGGCTTTAAGACATAATCTAGTAAATGAGGTAATGGTTCTACTTGCTTAATTTCAATTTCAGTTTTCATATTAAAAAAAAATACCAAACACAACTGAAGTGGACTGAGGGGAAAATAACCTGTTCCCATAGTACTTTACACCTTCCAATTTTAAGCAATAAAGAAAGGATAAAATACATAAGCACAAATGTATAGCAAACACCCTTTTAAACCAACTCCCCACGATTCCCTCAAACCTTGAGCTTAGGTTCAGAACACCATGAGGTTCCTTACCATCCCAACACAGAAGAGGACGAAGAGCAGTAGCCATGGTATGTCTGTGCAGCAACGGTCTTCCAGGGGCTTCCACTCTCGTTTGGAGCTCTAAATTGCAAAAACCAGAGAGCACAGTAAATGTCACGTCCTGTTAAAATTAGAAAGGCACACATATACCAGTCATATTTATGTCCCTTCTTTGTCAGGCAGGTTTCTATAGACCCTTAATACTGTCACCTTTGAGGTGAAGTTCATCTTACTTCCTTGGCCAGCACCCTTTGACTCCACTCCCCACTTCTTCCTGGCCAGGCGAAGTACTGAGATCAGTGGTCTTCGGATATTTCCACTACAGTATCAAACATGCTGAATTGCTATTCTCAGCAGTCACCCTGTGTCCCCAGAAGACAGCAAGTTATCATTTTCATTTCTCAACATCTACTACACACCTAAGGGTTATGATGTGTTCTCACTCAGGACTTTTTAAAATGAACAAATTTACAAATAAACAAACTCCTCTGATCTTGTCTTTGTGTATCCAGATGGTAGGTTTAAAATTACACACACACACACACACACACACTTTTTCCCCTTTATAGAACATGCTTTCTTCTTCTGGAAAGGAAGCCTATCAAAATGAATTTCTAGCAGCTGTAGGTTCTTCTAATTCAAATAAAATTCAAGAAAGGAATATTCAGTTTTTCTGAACTAGCTGAGCAATTCCTAAACTACCATCTATGGATTTTCACTCTGCTCCTAGAAAATATATACAACAAGGGGGTGGGGGTTTAGCTCAGCGGCATAAGCACCTGCCTTGCAAAGCAGGCGGTCGTGAGTTCGATCCCCGGTACCCATAAAAATGAAAAAGACAAAAAAAAAGAGAAAATATATATAATAAAAGAGCTTCTAGATAAAACACAGATGAACTAGAAAGTTTCTAGAAGTTAATTTGCAAAGTACTGACTGAAATTCCAACTCCTCTTTTTCTTACTTGCAATAGACTTAGTTTATCAGTTCAGCTCGTATAGCTTTTCAATTAAAATGTAACTAAACAAATTATCCTTAAATTGGGTTTTCTAAAGAACAAAATATCCTTGGGTCTTACACCCTCTCCTAGAAACAGGACACACTAGGGAAAACTTTCCTGCAATTGGAAGTTTGAGACCTCTAGTGGTTTCCATGACAAGATCCAGGAAGCTGTCTGGAAAGCTTTAGGAAACGGTACCACCAGAAGGAAGCTGGAGATAGTGAGTCCTCTGGTAAAATTAGTACTATACTTAGAGTACAATCAGGCTTAATTCTACCTTCTTCTTAAACAGCAGTTTCATACTATATGTCCTGTGATAACCTGATGAAAGCTACAGATTCCTTCCTTATAATATAAACATATATTACATCATTTTCAAAAAGTTTAGGGAATTCAGACTCCAGGTTAAGAAACTCAACTTTGAAACAGTTGACAATCAACATGGAGGGCAGAGAACTGAGTTACACCACTCCCTCCTGACTGCTAAAGTGTTAACCAGACAAATGCCTTGTTATTTCCTTGTATGTTCAATTGTTAAAACAAAAATACTCAGCTTGTTCCCAGACACCCACACAATAAAACAAAAGAGCACTAGTTAGTCATGGAAAAAACCTAGTCCCATGATGATAGCATTAAAAACCAAGAATGAGTGGGCAGGTTTTTTCCCCCACCAGAGGAATGCAGAGCAGCGCTGTAGCACGATGGATAAAGGACTGTTCTCTCCTTGGTCCTGTCATTAGTCAGCTAGCTACATGGCTAAGTAAGTCACTTTATTTCTCTGGAAGGAATTAGACTGGAGCTTAGGTTTCTCCAATTCTAAAAATCTATGATCAGGAATGCACTTTTGTAAAGATAAGCAAAACAACTGCAAAATAATTTGACATTATTGCTTGTGTTATTCAAATGAGAACATGTGAATTACAGTCTGCATTTTAGAAGACAGTAGCTCACAGTGAGAATAAAGAATGTTTCTTTGTATTAGATAATTTCAATGCTGAATAATGCCCATTATAGTAAAATTACTCACAAACACAGAATCTGTATACCTCTTCAAAAATCATTATATTTACTCTGTGGTAATTTATTAAAGCAACTGCAACTTTAAAATACTTTATCTTAACAAAGAATAAAAATGGCAGGAGAAGCAAGCCTCAGGTTGGCTGAGTAGTTTCTTTAACTGTAACTATTTTGTTAGTGTTTTTTTTTTTTTTAATCTATGCTGTTTGTTAATGCTTAAAATTTCATCCATAATATAAAGAAGAATTTCAGTCCTGGGAATTAAAATACAGTCAGCTTTTAAAGAATTCAACACAACTTGCCGTGGGCCACTTCTGTGCCAAATACATAGAGAATCTCTCACTGTAGATGAGAAAGTGGGAAGGTGGTAGGGGTTATACATACAAAAGTATCAGAATCCAAAGTAGAATGTAACACCAAAAAGATAGTGTGGCCACCCTCAGTCCAACAAAGGCTCCCTGGTAGTGGAGGCGGGGGGAGTGGCTCACTTCATAGGTTGCCTATGGATAACATATGAGCATCAGTCACTTAGTAAACCCTTAATCCAGTTATTATTGCTTATCAATATTCTCTTTTCAGTAAATCTTTTCCCTATTGCTAAAATACCCTTTTATCAGGTGGCCCTTTCCATGAAAAGGAATTTTTTAAAAATCCCTTCCCTTCCCTTTAGACTTGTTAAAAATTACTTAATGATGATATATTTCATTTTAGCTATCATTTTTCATCCTGCCAATGGTCAGATGCCATTAACTAGGCCCTAGACCCATAGTTTTATACCTACTGTCTTTTGCATTCAAAAGAGGTGATACTTACATCACCACTTTTTCACAGATAAAGAAACTCAGGCTCAAAAATTAAATAATCAGCCTAAAGTTTTACATTTGGGTAACAAAGATTTGGAACCAAGTTTGTGACTCCAAAGCCAACTCCAACGAAACTATTATATCTTCACCCTGGTCAGTGAAAAGCAATCACCTCCTCTAATGTTCCCTCACATTACAAAATGTGGGAACCAGCCAATAACTCAAAATCTTATAAATGCAAAGAGAGTGAGTGAGATGTATTATGAGCCATAAAATTTCACAAGTGAATTGAGAAACCCAACAGTTGAAAAACTGTAATGATTTTTTAACAAATGTAACCAAGTAGCAACTGGATTTAATGTTGTTTCTTCTAATTAAAGTTCCACATAGATCTAGCAAAAAGTAAAACATTTTCATAAGTACTTCTTAAATGCGATTTTATGCCTGTCAGATTGTATGTGAGATTAATTCATGCTGTCAATAAACATCAGATCTTTTTGCCTTCGAAGAATCATACAATTTAGGAACTAAAAAGAATGAAAATAATCATGCAGTCCAAACATTGAATAGGAATGACTGAGACTCAGGAAAGGAGAAAGGACTCATGCAAAGGGAATATATTTACTTTATCCATCCTATTTTATAGAACAGGAAACCAAAGTTCATGGAAAATTATGCCTGAAACCTAAATCCTCAAGTGCTAACAGAGATAGAAATGATAAGAAAGATGTCAGGAAATGCTATAAATTTAAAAAATAATAATAAAAATAAACCTGGTAACAGAGATAAAGAATGCCTTTCTCAGGCTTATTGTTAAACTAAACACAGCCAAGGAAAGAATCAGTGAACTCAATAAAAGTTCAAACAAATACTCTAAGTGAAACACAAAAAGAGTGGAATTTTAAAAATCGAAGTAGAGCATCCAAGAACTGTAGGACAGTGTCACATGATCTAATGTATTTCTAATTGGACCCCAAGAAAAAGAATACAGAAGAGGAAGTACTGGACGAAATAATAACTGAAAATTTTCCAAAAAATAGGAAAGGAATTACTGATGTAAGGAGTTAGCGAATCCCAAGAAAGATAAATAACACACATCCTTGCACCTATTTTCAAACTGTTTAAAGAAATCAAAGATACAAAGATCATATTGAAGTCAGCCAAAGAGCTTTAAAAAAACATGTTATATTCTTGTTAGAAATCACGCAAGGTAGAAAACAATGGAATGATTAAATTTCTAAAAGGAAAACAAAATGCAAACTACTATCCTAGAATCTCCACTAATAGGAAATGTTTCTCAGAAATGAAGACCTTTTTGGATTTTAAGCTGAGAGAATTTATTAGTAGATGTGAACTATAAGAAAAGTTAAAGTTCTTTAATATAACCAGATATCAGAAAAATCTGAAAGTATAAAAAGAAAGGTTGATTTCCAAAAATGGCCAAAATAAAAATTTGAAATGTTCCATAAAATTTGTAAATATCTATACATAAAATAAGAGTGTCAATATATATACTGTGTGTATAATAGCATTACATTATATGGTCTTTTTGGTTGTTTTTGGTACTGGGAATCAAACTCAGGACCTTGTGCTTGCCAGTATATGGCCTTTGTGCATATTCATATACAGTAAATAATCTAGGAGTCAGAATTACAACTTGTAATATATGTTGGACATCCTCAGTTCAAAATTCCAAACTCTGAAATGTTCCAAATTCACTTTTTGAGTGCTGATATAGTACTTTTTGAGTGCTGATATAGTACTACAAGTGAAAAACTCTACACTGTAAAACTTTCTTTCAGGCACAATAATATTAAAAATGAATAAAATTACCTTTGGCATATGTATATAAGGTATATATGAAATATAAATGAACCTCATGTTTATGTGTAGGTCTCATTCCCAGAATATTTCATTATGCAATATATGCAAATATTCCACAATTTACAAAGATCTTGAATGCTCTGTTCCCAAGCATATTGGAAAAGGGATATTCAATCTGTACTACAATGGACTTCTAAGTCAGACTAGAGCTGGCATCTACCTCTTATATTATATTCATATCCTTAAACAGGAACAATGGTTTAACATCTTCACATTGTTTCCTACATTTTGCATAGCATACATATCTCCTTTTCTTAAATATCTAATTTTGCAGCATCTGTAGTTTCTACTATAGAGGTCATAGTGCTGTTCAACTGTATAATAGACTCCACATCCATGAGCCATAATAGCTAAATCCAAGGCCCTGTAGAGAATCTGATACTTTGTAGGGATATCTAGTTTTTAGGAAAGAAATCTGTAAGAAGTTTTAACCTAACTTTTTATATATGTACTTTTTATAAATGGTACGTTTTAACCAGCTACTCGTGACACTGGAGGACGTCAGCAACTACAGGGCAGAGAAGGTGAGCCAAGACCAGGGAGCAAATACATAGGAAAATGTCTTCCAGACTGAATCTAGTTCACAGGGTTAGGCAGGGAAAGAAGGACTAGGGATATATAAAAAGACCAGACAGGCAACAGCTACAATCCAGACTTAAGATAAAAAGAATTGACCAGGTCTCAAACATGGAGGCAAACAGGGTTCAAAACCCTAGGAGCCAGAAGATACTCAAGAATATCTAAGGGTAAAAACTGTCCTCCTTTTGATACTCTGTGCCTACAGTTTGTGGACTTTCTCTTACGACGAACAAAGTTTGCCAAAAGATTCTTATAGTAAGATAATTATTCCCTGATACTCTTCATCTCCCCTTGATATAGTAGATTTTTGTAAGCATGGCTTCAAAATTATGAAATACGTGCTCAAAAAAGCGGTTTGATTTTCAGATATTTCTTTAATTCTTCAAATAAGCACGGAGCACTGTGCAAAATATTAGAGATTCAAAGACAGGTAAAATAGTTCCTGCCCTCACTGGGCTGTTGCTTACTGGGGGAGACATAAGCCAATACAATGATATTGCAGACAATGACAAAACGGAGACATGAAAAGATACCATAGAAACAGAGATGGGGCACCATCCAGAAAACATTTATGAGATCTGTTGAAATCACCTCATAAACTTTTCCAGCTTGTATTCTGAGGCAAACACTAAAGTGATCCTGCAGTGTCTGAAACAGAATGTGTTGTTTGCCCCAAAACACACTAAAAAATCTTGCTAGCTCTGGAGAATATTGACTGCCAAATAAGAATTTTTCCACTGAAAAATGTCAAGTAGTAAACAAACAGAACACTAAATTTTTTTAATCAGTTATTTCTCACTTTCCATCAAGATTTCTTTATATACTGAAATATTATATAGCTTCATTTAGGAACAGGTTTTGGAAATAAAGAAAATAGCTTCCTTCTAACACAATTAGTGCAGGGCTACATTTACTAAGCTCCTATAATATTTTTAAATAGATGTCATTGGTGAGATACCTACTAACTTTGAACTAAGCACCATCTGGTTGTATATATTACTGCAACTTGAAATTTCTGACTTGATAATAACTCCCTTGTTATTCCCCCAAAGTGATCCAAAGAACTATTTCCTCCTACATTCAAAGCAACAATAACAACAAAAATGGCAATGTGGGTGGCTGATGCAAAGGAAGAAAAGTAGTATACAGACAGGGTTAAACTGCAAACAGCAAGGAGCAAGCCTATGTCCAACTTTACTTGGGTGCAGTTCACAACTATACCACTACCTCTATGCCTTGGTTTCATCAGTTTGAAGGTATACAGCTATTCATTATTGATAATAAAATATGGAGGCTTCTAATTTTAAGCAGAATCGAAATTATCCTTGTAATAAGGCTACTGACAAATGCTTTCTGATAGGTCAGCAATAAGAATTCAACTGGTAGCCATGAATTGTACATAACCTGAAGCAGAAGCATGCTACCATCACATGTGCTTAGATCTTCACAGCAAAGCTTCATTGCTGACGCCTTTGAAAAGTCCAGTAGTGAAAAGTCAATTATGACGATGAAGGCCATAGCAAGTTAATATGTGGCTTCTCATTCAGCACAGATTCCTAGAAATGTTTTGGGGTAGTGTGGAGTAATTTGTTGAATAGTCTACCCTCAACTGTATTTTTCTTAAACAGCACAGTCTCTATTTCCTGAATAAACAGACCATTTCCAAAAATAGACTCATAGCTCCACAGCTTTGCTACAGTTTTCCCTTCTCCATCTACTCCTGTGCACTCAAAAAGCCACTACATTCACCACTGAATTCATCTGTCTCCAAGATCAGTCTTCCACACAGTGGTATGATTCAGCACACGTGTGGCAGACACTGGGCTAACTGTGAGAACTTTATTTTGCTCCTGCCAATTTGTTTCACACAAAAACCTCCAGTGTTGAAGACAAAATAGCTGTACACTTAGAACCTTCAAATCTCGAAGGACTACTGCTTCATTAAATTCCTCAGTATGCTTCTATTTGCACAGAGTAGTAACAAAAGAATAAAAGAGCTGATGTGTATCAATTTTGCCAGTTTTCAATAGAGCAGACATGATGAAGCTGGGTAGCAATAAAACATGGGGGCTTTCAGCCTTCTGTTCATTGTACCTACAAATAAAACCCTGTAATAGGATTTTTGAAAGACATTACCTGTCCTATGGGAAAGCTCTGTCAAGGACGTGGAGTGTATAACTACTTACAGTTGCCGTAAGTAATCCGTTTCATTTGCTAAGCCTGGTGATAGCAATTTATATCGGAAAGGTAAAAGTAAAAGCATAGTTTCAGCGGGCAGTTAAAGGTAATAAGATACATTGAGTGGAAAGACACAGGCGTCTGTGTCCAATTGCTTTTCTTAGTTCATGAACTTTATGCTAAATCACAAACATTCATCTGTTTAAGGGAAAGGGGGAAATGCTAAGGGCAGCTGTTGCATGAGTTACGTATTTACACGGTGATAGGAAGATCACAGGGAGACATGCTGCCAATGACTTCATTCTTCCTTCAGTTCCACTATAAAAAATAATCGTGGCTTCGTAGACTTCTCAGTGACTTTCTTGTATGTGGCACATGGTAATTACAGGGCAGAGTTAAGCCAGCTCTGCAATCCAGCTAATAATAGCTTTTACCTCCATCATCATCACCATCCAAATTACACATACAAGCCTTGCCTGCAATCCACATACAGGATTTCTGAGCTTGTCTTTCTCTTAAATCAGTGGTAAACAAACTTTTAAATTTAAAATTACTATTTAATTTTCCACAGTTGCATTTTTATGGGCTTCATAATGTCTCATCACATCTTATAAGCGTCAAAACTTTACTGCCTGATGATACGTGGGCAGACTGACAGGATCAGACTCTACTTTGCAGTGTCTCCTAGTGAATGAATGATCAAATAGCTTTTGGACAGTCTCTCAATACAGCCTCAAAGAAGTCGTGTACAACAGACTATACATAATCAATTTCCTGACTTGTCTTGTTATATTATACATAATTTTTTAATTGCATCAGTATCCAATATAAGAATCTTACTCCACCCTTATATGATGGAACACATAGGAAGAGACTTATAAAAGGGAACATAAGATTACACCAATCATAACATAGTAGATGTGGCTAGAAATGAATAAATGTATTTTAATAAAAATTAGGTATTATTTTAGTCAATGAAGATATTCACAGCAGTTATGCCAAGAAATAAATATATTTTCACTTCTATGGTAGTGGCCTAAGAATTCTTAAGTGAAATAAATACCTCCTGTAGTTAAAAAAAAAATTTAGGAACCCCCAAAACTTGTATTAGGTTCCCTTCTTTTATGCATCAGTGTGTATAGTCACTACCACAGTAATTATCATTATATAAATGTCTCCCCAGTTGATATGCCTATTTTTTGTTTAAATCAGCAAGCAGGATTGTTTATAGAAGGTACCTAAATATTCTTCAAATGAGAACCTATTTGATGAAAAACAATATGTACAAAATCTCCTGCTAAACTGAATATATGACATTTATTTTTCCCACTTTATGGTGCATCTGGGGCCAGGAACTTGTTGACTGTGTTCTTTGCTACCCACCATTAGTTGAAAAATGCATAGCACGTAGTACGCTCTCAGTAATTATCTCATAAATGAATGAACAGGGCTAAATCTCTTGCTATTGGAATAGCATGATGTTAAAACAGATCTGCATGATATCATTTACCTAAAAATGATTTTGCATTGCAGTTTTGGACTAGCGTTTCCAAAGATGTTTGCTAATGGGTGGTATGAGAATAAAATTCTTATTTAAGTAAGTTTTGGAAATGTTAATAAAGTCTAGTCTTTTGTGCATGATTACTTTGAGTCTTTCTTGGGAAACACTCCAAACCTTATTTGGTCATCTATACACTGGGAAATTTAGATGCAGACAATGCAACCTCTTTCTCAGTATGTTTCCAATAACCAGAATATATGAGTTCTGGGCCAGGATAATACTCCCACTGAAAAACTAGTGCAAGCAAAGTCTGGCAGCACTGGTGAAGGCTGCTGATACTTAAAGGAACATAAATTGGCTAGTCCAAGGAAGTAATCCATTATAACAGCTCCACATGATATGTTCAGTGCAGTGCTATCTATTATGAGAAATAATTAGAAATTAGACAATAATAGAAAACAGTTTAATACAAGAATGGGATACTAAGCAATGAATAAATAATTATGAAGATTGTATAGTAACATATCAAAATAATTTCAATAAGAAATTCCATCAAAGAACATGACATGAGCCAGGCACAGTGGGGCATGTCTGTCATCCCAGCACTCGGGAGGCTAAGGCAGAAGGACGGCTGTGAGTTCATGCCTAGCCTGTGCTATATAAGCAAGTTCAAAGCGAGCCTGCACTACATAGCATGCCTATGTCTCAAAATAACAAAGACAAAAACATGACATGAATTTTCATCAATCTTCTAGTTATATGGCTAAGTAAAATAGCATATGCAAATGTAAGAGTATCAGAAGAATGTATAATTATTAAATTGATTCATAATACATTTTCCCTTGCTGATTTTCAATGTTATTTAATTATGGGAAAAATAAAATATTGGCTCTTATTTCTCCAGATTAGTCTTTCTCTACTTCCTTGGAACTACATCAGCTATAAAGAGCTACAGTATCAAAACTAACAAAAATGTTTAAGTCATTCTATCTACTTTAAACTTTATTAGAAACCTGTCTGCCAAAAGCAATGCCCTGTATCCAAGTCTTGAAGAATGCTGCACAGGCGATGTCACAGAAGTAAACTGGTACAATCAGGAAGAGGAATTCAAATCTGGGTTCGAATTCTAGCTCCTCTTCTTCCTAGGAGTACAATCTGCTGTCATGATTGCCTTCCATGTAAGGTAGGAATGAATATCCTGTTAAAGAGAATTAAATTTCTAGCTAAAATTAGGCTTTAAGTCATTGCTAATGTACTGTTTCCAGTATACTGTGAGGAAAATCTTCCCCATAAGGTATAAAAGAAAGTGAATTCCCATAGTCATCTCAAACATCTTTACCATGTGTTGTACATATTCTAAAACGTATGTCAGAAAAGTAAAAACTAAGTTGTAAAGGAAATACAACCAGAGGGAATAAACCAGTACACAGATGGGCAGTCAACTGTGGTAAAGAAACAAATTAATAGCAATTTTCAAATGTAATGCGATAAGAAATGAAAGCATTCCTTACATCTTAACTTTTCTCTCAGTTTTATTGAGGTATAACAAAGTAAAAAATTTGTACATACTTAAGGTAGGCAGGGCCTGGGTTCAATGCCAAGAAGAAGAAGAAGGAGGTGGAGGAGGAGAAGGAGGGGGAAGGGGAGGGGAGGAGGGGGAGGAGGAAGAGGAGGAGGGGGAGGGGGAAAAGGAGGAGGAGGAGGAGAAGAAGGAGAAGGAGGGAGAGGAGGAGGAGAAGAGGAGGAGAAGGAGAAGGAGGAGGAGGAGGAGAAATACACTTGGTAATATGCCTAAGTCACACAGCCATCAAATTCTACAGCAGGGACATGAAGCCAGTAGTTGAGATCCCATGGTCAGCATATTCCACGTAGATGTTGCATATGGAATGATCTCTAGTAATTAGGAGGGAAAATAGGAAAATAAGAGGCTTAAGAATTGCAATAAAAATACTCCAGTACATTCTGTGGCTTAATTGATCTGTTATATTTTTACATGTTTTTTTCTTGTAGGAAAATCATAGACCATAACCAGGAATAAGGTATTATTAAATATTTTGATTTCAAGGGTAATTCCTAAATGTCCAAACACTACTCTTGATATTTGAAAAAGTACCCAATGTGATGTTTAATAGGTAGAAACAAACTGTTGTTTTTTCTTGGCCATCTGTAATTTCTACGTATATTTTATAAAATGCTTGTTTATAGTTCAAAAAGAATAATATGTAAAATGCTACTTTACTATGAAGAAATCACATACCAACACTCATCAATGAACGAGTAATTAAATACAAAGTGGACCATTCATACTGTGGACTACAACGATGTAACAGAAAGAAATAAAGTCAGGACACAGGGTACAACATGGATGAACCTTAAAAACGTAAGTGAAAAAGCCAGATACAAAAGATAATGTCATCTATGTGAAATGTCCTGAATAGGTACAACTATAGAAAAAAAGTGCTTGGGGAGCACTAGGTGAGAGTTAAGAAAAATTAGAAAGTGACAACCAATCAGATGTAAGTTTTTTTCTAAAACTGACTATGGTGATGGTTAGTACAGCTATGTGAACATATCAAAAAGATTTCAGCAGTACCTTTTAGAAAGGTATGGAAATTATCTCAGTAAAATTGTTACATTATATAAAAGGGTACAATGATCCCTTATGTTTGGAATTTTCCTGATTTTATGACAGCTCCATGTGAACACTTTTCATATAGATACCACAGCAGGTGTACCAAGATGATAATAAGAGGACCTTTTATTAAAGAGGTGGGTAATGAAAGCTAATGAACAAAATCATTTTTCTAAGATATGACAAGTTACTAAAATAAGGTTATTTTCACAGCATATTTCAATACCTCTGTAGGTGACACAAAAGGAAAGTGTGAATAAGGTTACAGAGAACCAAAATATTTCATAAAATAGATCAAAATAGAATTAGCAAAGTCATCTTAAGGAGACCAAAGGTCATGCATGTCACTAGACTGTGGTATAAACACTGCCATGGAAAAATCTGAATTGTCAATAAAAAGGGACTGGCTGGGGCAAACAAACTTCCCACTGTTTACCTAGCACATGTGAGGGTATGTTCTCTGTCATGTGTATTGAAAAATAAAGGTTTGAGAGAACAGCCTTAGTACTGTCCTGGGCAGGGTGACAGCAGCAGACTCTAACTGCTGTGCTGTTACTGCTGAACAGAGAACTCAGGCTCTGGAGCTGGTCAGACAACCCCTCTGATTCCATGCCACCAGGCAACCATGTGACTGTTCTCTGGCTTCCCACAAGTTGACAAGCAGTGTATATAACTAGAGAAAAATAAAACTACAGAGCAATGGAGGCTACTGTATAAGAAGGGAGTCTGGAAAAAAAATATATACACATAGACTACTGCTAACCATTGTTATCTCATAAGGTGAGATCAGAAAGGACATTTCACATGGATACACTAAAGTACATTTCTTAAAATAACAATACTTTCTATTAAAAGTAAATTTAAAAATTCTTAAATCATCATAATCTCACTTTACCTCCATGCTATTAAGCCACAAAATTTTTTCCAGTCTTCATGTAAATTAAATCTTTCATAAATTAGTTTCTGGGTTGACACATGTGTCTTACAGTACTGTTTTACATGAATCTACTCACTAGAGAAGGATACACATGCTAGCAAAATGATGAGTCTCCTAAGCCCTAGGGCTTAGGGAACTAACTGTAACGTCAACAACACTCAGTAAAGCCTATTAGAAGCCATTACTTGGCTTTTCTGGGTCAAACCTAAGTCACACAAATTCCCTATTCAAACTGTAAGTGCAAAAGATATTAAGAACTATCATTAAGAACACTGATAGAAAACTCCTCCCAGCACTTACAAACAGGCGCTCCTGGATCTAAGACTGCTTTTGAAAGCCAAGAGGTTTCCCCATAACTATCAACCTCCAACATTCCCTGGTCCTTGAAAAAATTAAGATCAGGGAGGAACCTCTAGGAACATGAGCATGCTATAATCTGGGCCCTAAATTCACCCATCTGTGTTTCTACCTTCTAGCAAGTGTAAAGCTAAAGGTCAGAGTACCCTGCAGCAGGGGTTACTGAAGAGCTTGTTAACAGTTCAGCATCAGATAACTGGTTGGCCTTCAGTTATTCTAAGATCTGACCACTTGGTTATGTGCAAGTGACTGCTGTTAGGATGATAGAATAGCCACAAAGTCTCAAAATCCTGCTTTTTGGTAAAATATAACTATCAAAAATCTATCACATATGCCTGAAGCAGAAAATCATACAGAGGCTTCAAACATCAAACTGACAGTTTGATTAGAGATTACAGACCTTCCCAACCTTGAGATTCAAAGGTCCCATGATCCGTGAAGGTATTCTGGAAATATCACATCACATCAGAAGTTGAATTAAAGAAGTCAGCTAAAAACCTATAAAGTGACTAAAGAACCACATAGAAAAAGACTTTAAAAACCCAAATAAGAAGGAACATCAAATCATCAAAGAAATAGCTCTGTAAATGACAGAAACTAAAATTGTTCTTAAAACCAATCAAGAAAAATGAATGTTAATGGACCAAACTGGAATAAATAAATGCTCTAAAAACACAAACATCTGTAAATCTCCATGCCCAATGAGTCATTAAAAAGTTCCACTCATAAGAAACCATTTTTGTCTACAAAGGTAAGCCCCAAGCTCAGACAGATCTTGACTAGTTTGTATCCAATTATGGCAATCTGTCTTGCTCATCTGGTCCTTTATGGGTCTGCTGTAGGCACTTTTGCCATAAGATTAATCTTCGTTTATCTCTTAAAAGTAACCAGGTTTTCCTCTGTGTACTTCTATCCTATACTATGTCAACTGTTTTTCTCTGTAGTGCTCAAACTAATGATTCTAAATCACAGCTTTCAAATAACTATAAAACTTCTAACAATATCACTCCCATATTCATAGTCTTCAGTTCTCTGGAATCCAATTAAATCTTACTTATTTCCATAAAGTCAATCTAAGAGTTGACTAATCTAACAGAACTTAAGATCACAAAGAAACAATCCATTTTAAAACTGGATTACTAAATGACCAGCTACCATAGTAGTAGTCACCTACTATTAAATGAGAAGTACAAGCTCCTGAAAGAAGCCCTGTGTCAACAACGTGAGTCTTCATGCCTAGAAACTTCCCTGACAAAATCATGACTGCTTGGGCATTGCAAGATGCATCCTTTGCTACGGGCAGATTACCTGGGTCATCCTGGGATCTTCCAGACACAACTCTTTATGCTCCTTACCAGTGACTCTTCTGGGTGAGGATGCAGCTCACATCTGTAAGCTGGGGCGGGGGTGGGGGAGTGGGGGTGGGGGGTATCCCGAGGTAGCTTCTGAGCATGCTCAGCCAACTACTAAGTGTCAACTGTATGTTTCTTCTCCTCTTGCTCATGAACTTGCTTAACTGGTAACTTGAGACAGGTCATGGTGGAATTTACAAGATAGAAATCTACAAATCTGCATATTTTTTCCTTCCCTGAACTGGCTGTTAAACACTTACTAATACATTATTACCTGTGTCTCAGTTTGTCACAGAATTTGAGTCTTTCTCTTATATAAAAATACTGTTCTGTATAACTAAATAACTCGACTTTAGACCTTTTCTCACTGCTGTTAAATTCTTCAGCTATTTGAGATGGCTTTTATGGCCCATACCACCCTGAGCATACCTGACCTCATCTGGCATGGCTCTCATCTATCTGTTTCTGGTTTTACAAAATTAATGTTGATGCACAGTGTGAGTTATGGAAATAGTTTAACATTTACATAATAAATATAATATCTAATCAATATAATATCTAATCAATGACGTTGACCTAGAATGGCTATTTTAAAAAATATTTATACTACGGTCTATGTGTAGAATATTTCATGGGCCCATTAATAGTTTTTAATTGATCTTGTTTTATTATAATTTATCTCCTTTCATGTGATTATACTTATTTTGGTTTTGTGGTTTATAGCACTGGTCACATCTTGTAGAACAATGTTAACAGTGACAGATGGCTTGGATATATGTTCCTGATGTAAACAGAAAATAATCTGTTACTGTCAAGTGTTCTGAGATTAGTTTAACAAATGGATTTTATTAAAGGTATAGTTTTTCTACCTTTTAAAAGGGTTTTTAAAGAAATATGTTGAATTTTCACATTTTTAGCATACTGTCAATTTTAGGATTTAAAATTACCCTAATTTTAGGATTTTTAAAAACTAGAATTCTGTTTTAAACAACAACCAAAAATTCTACACTGTCTGTAGTTTGCTCCCAGTTGTAGCTGAGACTTCAAGAGCCTGGGGCAGCAGTGCTGCTCTGTCACAGTGTGTCTGCCGGACACGCGGTGCCTCATACACGACTGGCAGGGAAATAAATGGCGGGCTGGAAAGCAGAGGTCACATGGCTCTCATGCCATTTTTCTCCGTGTGGTAATGTTTTCAAGCACAGACAAGTCCTCTCATGCTTATTAAAGAGAAAACCTTAACATTAAAAGACAACCTTAAAGATAGAAAAGCTGTTTTAAAAGTGACTTTCTTTTTTTAGCCTGTGAGGTGGCTGATTCTTTCAAACCACTTCACTTTTCTTAAGTGATCTGGCAAACCTGCAAATGCAGATGAGGAAGCTGGTAAGACATTCCTTACTTACAAAAACAATGAATTAAGAAGCCTATAGGCTGGATCTGCTTTTTTCTTTTCATGACAATAGACTGTGGAAGAACCGATCTCCTCAAAAAGTGTGAGCCTCACAGAACTACACAGGATTTCTTATGTATTAAATACCAACAATATTAACAATACTAGTTTTTTAATTTGCTTTGTTCTTTTAGTACTGCTATTAGAATTACTTGGATAAAGTTCCTGAATTCTGAGTGTTTATCCTGACTTTGTTTTCTCTATCAGCCCTCTGTATTCAGTGCCTTATTCAATGCAAACATGTTATTTTATGTCTAAATTATTTTTGCAGTTTCAGTTGTACTGCTGCTGTTTTTTTTTTTTTTTAACGGATTCACTTGAACAATTAGGTCTTTGCTACCTAAAGTCTACCAGAATACAGCTTGTTTTGGAATCTTAAACAAAACAAAAATACAATTTGTTAACAAATACAAGCCCTTCAAGGAATCATCAAGGAACTTAAGATACTTGATTTAAATAATGAAAAGTTTAAATCATTAGTCCTAGGTAGTAGAGTTCCTGAAGTGAAGGGGTGTGTAAATTTCTTAAGTGTCTTCAAGAGATGAAGTTGATTTCATCTGGCTCCCACTGCCTTCTTCCTAATGCCTGCCTGGCCACCACCAAACTCTTGATTTTCTCCTACACAGCCTGCTCTGGGACAGCCTTCCCATCAACATACATCTACTACATTAAGAAATGCTGATGGCTCTACTTCTCAAATAGTATGGGAATCATTTTGTTCCACCTCCACACTGCTAACACCCTAGTCAAAACCACCCTAATCTCTAATCTGAATCACCACAATAAACTTATGTTTCTATCCTTGGGCCCTCAAAATCAGCCTCAACAAAGAAAGATGCATGATCAGAAAGTCATGGTACTTGACTTGGTGGTTCCTCTGCTGAGTGACTCTCTGACTCACTACAGCAGTTTTTTTTTTTATTAGTACGTGTTTGCAGTACATATTCACATTCGTCTGGGGAATGAATACATGTATATCATACAGCTTGTTTTGTGTTTTCTGTCCTCTTCCCCTTCACACTCGCCTCCCTCCCTCTACCTTTAAATCCTTTGTTTTCATTCTTGTAGTTCTTAGCTCATGTTTATGACATACAATGCTTACATTCATTGAGGTCATTAGGTTTTTTTTTTTACCAAAAGCTAGTATTTTTGTGACTTACAACACACAGATGTCTAAGTTGATTTACAAAGCCAAGACCACCTCTGATCTATTCTCTTTCCTTCTATTCCTCCAATCACTCTGGCTTTTGGGCAGCCTCTCAGGTTACTTCTATCCCCTGAATTTTGTATCTGCTGTTCCTTCTACTGAAATGCTCCTTTTCAAAGTACCAATCAAGCTGGCTTACCACTTCAGCTCAGGAAAGCTTTGCTGAGCCCCCCTACTGCACACTACTGCAATCTCCTTCTCTCTCCCTCCTATTCCCACTCCCCAATTTATTTTTTTTTCCATATAAACACAGGTCTTCATCTGATAAACTGTATGTTTTACTCCTTGTACATCTCTCTTGTCTACTGGAAAATAAATGTTTTGTGCTGTATGCCTGGTATCTAGAATAGTCCCTGGCACATAAAAATGCTCCATTTCTACTTAACTGAATGAATGAATCAGGTTATTGCATGAGGTAATGAAGGAAGTGACAGATTGCGAATGTGACTCTTGAGGCCATCACGTTAATCATTTCAAATTCAAGAAATATTTGGAAGAAGATGAAGTGGTGCATAGAAGCAGACTTTATCTTAATGCAGTCATATGGCTAAGTTGTGAAAACTGGTTCAAGAGATTTATTGAGCTGCTTTCTCAGATCAAGGACACTTAGAATTAAAGGGCTTTGAGTGGCTCAACTTGTCAGACCCCCTGGCGACTCACAAGATTGTTCTTCTACGATGTGACAAGACATCTGAACATATAAAACTGAAACTACAAGGGGTGAGACAGGAGCACTGTGAACAGGATCAAGGAACCACCACTGTTTTGATTCACACTGGATGTGTGAACCGAGTAACTGAAGACTGCATTTGTTTTCCACAGCTGACCAGTCCCAGAACTCAGTGAAGTCACTGAATTTAAGAATTAGAGAACATTTCCTAGAAATCAATTTCAAAAGGGCATTACTTTCTGTAAGAAAAAATCCCACTTTTACTGTTCAGCCTCTGAGTGAGGTGTATCCCTTAGGAACAGGCCTACCCCATCAGCATGGATCATATATATTTTTTAATTTTGAAGAGAATAAAACCAAATGAAGTAAAACAGAATAGAATCAATCAAAACAAAACAATGAACATAGCACATGACTTAAAAACAAAATACAAGGAAATCAATAATGGCTACCATAATGCCTCTTATCTTCAAAAGAATTTCCCATACCATCAGCTTTAATAAAATCAAACAAAATAGTACAGAATAAAACCAACAAAAACAAAACAATGGAAGCAGTACAGGACTTCAAAAGAAGAGAATAAAAAAACCACAGAGGGTACCATAATGGATCTTGTTATCTTCAAAATAGTTGCCTATACCATCAGACATGATACAAACAAAACAAAATAGACTAAAATCAGTCAAAACAAAACAATGAAAGCAATATAGGGCTTCAAAACAAGCTAACAGGCAATCAATAATGACTACCATAATATATTTTGTTATCTTTGAAACAGTTTTCCATGCCATCAAATACAATAAAATTAGACAACCTGAAACAGAATAAAACCAAACTAAACAGAACAATGAAAACAATATGGGTTTCAAATCACCATAAAAGATGAACAATGGCCACTGCCCTCCCTTTTTTAGACACTTCAGCCCCTTTTATTCTCACAGTATGTACTGTGCATTTTGGATCCTACTAACTCTTTTAGTTTTTTATACTAGATGTAAAAAACGATGTTCACCAATGTGACTCTGAACCATTTCATCCATTAGCGTGATCTCAAGTTGTATCCATTTACCTACAAGAGCTTCAAAGTTATCTTTAGAGCTGAGTAGCTTTCCATTGTGTAAAAGTGCCATGGCTTTCTTATCCAGTCTGCAGCCAATGGGCAAGCTACCTCCACTGCTTTCTGGTTCCCTGTCACATAAAGCACTGTTCTCTCTCCTTTGACTTTCAGTCTATGAATTCCCTTTCAAGTTAAATGTGTTTTCTTGTATAAAGCATACTGTTTGATCTTGTCTCCTGATCTACTCTGCCTGTGTTTCTTTTTTCAGTGAACTGGGGCCATGAAGATTAATGGTTATGGCCAACATGCACGGGCTTATCTCTGCCATGTTATTTTCCTGCCACTGGCTGCCTACTTTTCCCCTCCATTCAGTTGTCTGCTCCGTTCAGTGATCCCCCTTTGCTGCTGTTCCTAGAACCATTGTCTTTTTTATCTCTCTCTAGAATTTCCTTTAGTATTTTTTTGTAGAGTTGTTTTGGTTGTCATGAATTCCTTCAGTTGTTCTTTGTCATGGAAGTACCTTGTTTCTCCATTAATTCTGAAAGATAGTTTTGCAGGGTACATCAATCTGGGTTGGAAGTTTCAGGATTTGAAATACTTCAAGTTCTTCTTGATCTGATGGTTTGTGTTGAGAAGT